TGAGATTGCCTTCTTACTTCCTGACCTCTTTTGTCCATTTCTCATTTCCTGAACTTTGTTCGTTGTGGTTAGGGAGGGTTCGCAGAACCAGGGCCCCTCAGTTGGCGTTCCGTCGCCTGGGTGCGGTCGCTCATATTAGTGCTCCACCTGTAGCTCGTCCTTCGTCGAGGGCGGAATCCGTGGAGTCGGTGGCTTTCACCAGCCCAGCCCGACCCGTGCCTCAGGATGAAGGCCCGTCCGGTACTGTTCGTCCGCTAGCTGAGTCATCATCGACTGGGGAGGAGGACGGGCCACCAAAGAGGCGGAGAGTGGGCTTCGAGATGGCTCCCCCAACGGTGATTAACTTGGACTCTCCTCCGGCGGGCCAGGATGGAGGTGTTGTCGCAGAGTCTGCTGTAGAGGCGGAACATACGGTCGACGCTATTCCTGCGAGTCGGAGCCCGGAGGACTCCGCTGTTGCTGCACAAATGATCAGTCCTTGGGGACTACTACCGTGGCCTCGGTCGAGCCGCCATCATCATCGATAGGTCGTGCCACACCGTTGGCAGCGGAGAGGGGGAAGAGCGTGTTGGTGGACGAGTATGAGTCTGCGTCCGACCTGGACCCTGATGATGTTCGAATGTTTGAAGAGGGCATCACCCATTCGGTGGTCAACGCGGAGGGGCCGGCCCGCCTCGTTAATTTCCAACTTCTTGAGAAACACCCTTACTGTGAAGAAGTAGCTGAAAAGTAGAAATAGAACCTTTATTAAGAGTCTATTAGCAAAAGAAGTTAATTAGTACATAAAGTTAACATTAAGGCATGTATTTTGCCTGTAAAGTTAGAGCATAATCATGCTTTGATAAAAATAAACTTGAAAGGCAGCATACCTGTGTTTCCAGAAACTGCTATTTTTTATTGATCCTCGACAAATGATTCCAGTTCTTGGCAAAGCATATCTATGAAAACCCTTAACTGTATCCACTTGTGCGGCTTATAATATAGCAATCTCTGTAGTTCTCGATTTGACTTCTTTCAATAAATAGTTCATGAAAAGTAGAAGGATCATCCTTGGTCAATTGATCTACCAAGGGGAAAGTAGATCTGATCCAGTGCATTGCTGTAAATTAAAGCAACACTCAACACTCTGGAAAAAAACCAATAAAGATGAAATTATCTTATGCCTACCCAATTTTGAAATGATAAATCAGTATTTGAATGGCTATTCATCTAGCATTTTGTCACTTTTTGTTCATGCTCACATGTACCCTACAATCTTGAAAAGACAATAAAATACAGAAGTCTGGACAAAATAGAAGAATCACATTATTGTATGTATACGCTACATATGTTAACAGAAGTTGCACAAAATTTTAAATAGTGAGAGGCACATAGAGTGAACAAAACACAATTATTTTTGTGAAAGTTAAGCATAAAAACTATTATCTGGCAGTTAATTGAACGCTTTTTGAATAACTTCACCATTATTTATGTTACACATCGAGTGATCATCCTCTCTATCTGATGTTAGTGGTCGAAATTCGAATTAATAGTTTCACACCTTTTGAACTTTTGGCTCTTGACAAAGCAACATAAGTTGACTATTGGAGAAAACAAGTTCACGCAAATAAATTCCAACAAAATACAAAGTTTAACCTTAAGCTTTATTTAGTCATAGCTAAGCACAATCGTATTGAAAATTGTGTTCTTTTAAAAGCAATTGGCAATATTTCATCTCGTGATGCTAATAGTGATATTCTTGGAAATTACCGCTAGCAAGTTTAGCACTTATAACATGTGTTTTAAGATTACAACATGTTAATCGGGTGCCATTACATAAACCTTCACAGGGACTTAAATATCGTAGTAATATCACTGGATAATTTTCTTTTGAAGTCAATGTGTAAGGCGTAGGATTTAAATTATGCAGATAATCTTTGAATTGATTCAACAGTTTCATCAATTGCAACAAATGTTCTAGCATCTTTCGGGAATTTAGATATGAGCATATCATTTATTTCATGAACAAAATCATTTTTTGTTGCCAAGATCACACGAGAAACTATGGAGGAAGAATTATGAAATAAGGAGTCTATATTGGGATATGTTACCTCAAATAACTCGTTTAGAGATTCTTTTTCAGTGATAGAGGGAATAATCAAAGAACTTTCTAGTTGATTCCAAATTTCAGAGCATAGTAAACTCTTAGAAATGAAGTCTTCTTTTTTCTCATTTCGAACGGGAAGAATTTGCCTCACTATCATCTTCAAAAACAACTTTTCCCAAAGGGCGTCTTAATATCCATTACATCCTTCAAAAGTAAATCAAAAGCTTTAATCGTTTTCCTTGTGGCCGTTGATGCCTCATCTCATACAATTAATTTTGTATCCCGAATTAAACAGGCAAGTGAACTTTGCTTACTGATATTGCAAGTAATTTTTTCATCAATATTAATGGGGATCTTAAAGCGCGAATGAGCAGTTCGCCCTCCAGGAAGAATAGAAGCTGCAACACCAGAACTCGCAACCACTAATGCTACAAATCCCTTAGATCTTAAAGTATCCAACAAACTTCGATATAAGAAAATTTTACCGGTTCCTTCAGACTCGTTAGTAAAAAATGCTCCTGCCTTGTTGGAAAATATTCTATCACCAATCATGTTATATGCTCTTCATTGATCTGCATTTAGTTTTTTTCTAACAATAAATCATCTTCACAAACTCTTAAGCTTCTCGCAAAATAAACTTCTTTTGCCTCTTTTGTGTTTGCAGAAGCTCTAATATTTTCTGGAGTAAGCTGGTACTCATTAATGTCGTGGGGGTGTAATTCATCATTAATCTGGTTAAGGACTCTATGATGAACATCTTTAAATCCATTATTAGGCAAGCGTTTGAAGTCTTCCGACTTTGAGTCTTAAAATTGTTCCAACTACTCCGTCGGATTGGTAGGACTACAATATACCAATGACGTAGCAAATAATTGTCTTAAACTATGTGACAATTGATAACTTGCAGCTTAAATCACACAGTCAACCAAGCTGTTGTGAGAAAGTAATAATCCCCTTTTTTCAGCAACTTCTCTAAATGTAATACAATATGTTCCATTACAGTACGCAGATCTTCATATGATATTGTCCTCTCACATTTAGTAATAATAGCCTGAGATGATATATCTCTCCTCCTCTGGAGGACATGTGACAACACGTCCAATAACGCTATGTTGTTTTCGAAGTGTCCACGTCTTGTCTGTAACTGCCACACAAAGTATTCAGGAAGTTCTTTGTACAACAGCTAAAGTTCTATAGCATCTTTATTTGTTTGGTTTATAACAAAGATTATGTCAATATTGTACTTCTAATCATAGGATTACTTAAAATTGCATTTTATATTTTCAGTTCTTTTAAAAGAAACATATTGTTGTCCTTCAAGGTGTGGTGTAATTGAAGATGATAAACAGTTGATGTCATCTCACTAATAGAAAAATCAAATAAACACCACATAGCTTCAGGTGTAGATACCTATCTAACAGAATGATATTCTTTTTTTTCATCGATCTCTGTGTCTTTACCATAGTCATGTACAGAAAAAACAATTTTATCGTGTCCTTTACATATGTATTTGTAAAGGTACTTGACAACTTTAATGTCTAAGCAATCTCAACAATCATATGACAATTAAACTTGTCAAGTAAAAAAGGATTATCGAGGAATTATTCTCTAATTTTTACAGCTTCACCTGTTTGTCGTCTTTTGTAAATTGGATAAGAATTTTTCCCTTTTGATGTCCGATCAGCAAGATATTTAGGTATTTGGATTTACAACATCCATTTTTCATACATGAATTTGTTGGATTCAAATGACCATAGAGACCGTGCATCATATGATATAACAAGTGAATATAACTAAAATTGTTTATCATAGACGGGTAATTCAGCACGTACAACTCTGTCGTAAGATTCAGGTGTCAACAATTGGTATTCATTATCAAGAATAATAAGGAAATGTGCATGTGGAAGACCTATGTTTCTGGAATTATGCAGTGTACATAAAAACAGCAACCTTTCAAAATACATTTCTTTTCAATATATTAGTTTTTAGCTCTTCTAGTTTTACTCTAAATACTCAACTAATAAAGTCAGGTCTATTTTGTGCCTCATCAGTAGGTAACAAATGTTCTTTTATTTTTGACCATAACCGATGACATGTCATTATTAGAAACAAGTCAGGTGTTCCAAAACACTGTACCAAAGCAACAGCATTCATATATCGTCGGCATATACCTCTTGGTCCTCCTGTAAATGTAAGGTCTATTTTCCAATTTTAGAAGTATCTCTTAACCACGTCTTAAGACATCAAGAACACCCTGCAAAACTTCAATTCTACATAAATCTAGATTAAAAGAGAAGAAACCCAATCGCTGTGTTCCAAGTTTATGAATACATCTTCTTCCAGTATGTAAGATTTCATTAGCCTTACTATCTCGTATTCGAATTTTATACAATAATACTCACGGCACAGTATTTCTTTTTTTTTTTTTCTTTGTTGTTCTAGTACCTGAGCTTCCATATCAAGAAAATTATCAATTGAACACATGTTCACAACACTCGGTAACTGTTCGTGTTCACAGTACAGTAGACACGACATCTGGTAAGATTCTTTGGTTGTACTATTTTCTCAATATCGCAGTGTCACCATCTTGACCATATGGAAATAATAGTGGGTACTGCAAAGGATCATAACATCTATAGTAATAGTTAACCAATTGACTTTTATTGCTGCAAGTATAAATTCGATTATGAGGTGTGGAAATACTATGTACACCTTCTGCCACCATTATTGCTGCAACTTCTGATGCGGTAGGTAGGCTATATACTCGCTGATCTAAGCCTGAGTCACATTTGAGTGCAATGTAAAAGTTTGATAATTCCGTAATGTCGGCTAAGAGATTTCAGGAAAACAGTATATGGATTATCTTGTAGTATATTCATCAATTTTCTGACCATCGACTCATGAACTCTAGTCGAAGAAGCAATTCTGTTTGCTACCTCATTTTCATTGTCATAGATCATCTATGAAGTGGTACATTTTCCCTTGAACACTAAATGTACAAATACCGCAATTTCTCCAAGCCAAGTCTTTGTCATATTTTACCCCGAGCGAAGTAAATGCAAACATATTACTGTATGTCCTGATATACGTTCGAAAAAGGTCTGATTCTTTGGTAGTACCCCAAAAATAAATTCCGTAGCTCCATAGGCATTTCATATGAAGTAAGCTTAATTGATCCATTACTGCAATAAAATTCAGGGGACTCATACTAGAATCTTCTTGCACCACAAAATTTACAATTTGGGACAACTATGGAGCAACAAATTCGGTTTGTAGTTGACTAATGTGCAGATGAGCTCTTCTATTTAGTCCAACCCCTGAATGTTATGGAAATGGTTAGAAGTGAATTTGCACTTGAAAGGAAGAGAAGGAATACTATTCTAACTTGAGACTGATACAAACCTCTGTTTGTTACATTTTCTGAACCAACACCACATCGTTCATTAGATGTATCTGATGTGGATACTAATAAAGAAACAATTATGAATTACATAAGTAAATGGTTAACGAAATTTTACTAAAACAATATGGTTCTTATACTCGCCTGTTTCAAAGACGGAAAAAGGGCCAAATAAACATTTTCCTTTGGCAGAAGGGGCAGGTAACATACTAACTTCATATGTAGCAAGTAATAATCAAGCATGAAACATGTTTAGTTTAAACTGATTGTGTTTAAACAGAAAAAGCAGAAGTTTAATTTGCTAACCTTCTTTTGAGGTAAGAGCAGAGTCTCTTATTATGGGCACACTCTCCCTTTGAAACGGTGAATTACTCAAAGATGTTGATTTGACGGAGTTATCCACAGTAGGACGTCTTCTTGAATCGAGTTCTTTCGTATGCCATTATAATAATGATGCTTCCTGTCTATCCGCTGATATTTCTTTGTATCTTTTACAGTGATTGAGTTTCATTTCAGCACTTCTATCTGCCAGACATGGACTTTTGTCCTGAACGTGTTGTAGGCACATCTTTTTTATCCCCAGACATCTGCATTCGAGCAATGTAAGCAGTTTTACAAACAAATTACAGCTTCTCTCCAAAAAGATATCAGCTGAAAGGCAAAACTAAATAGTTGTCGGGAGACCGAAGTTTTCTATTAGCTTACCTCATAAAGGCGGAGTAGTCAGACGTGTAACTGGGAATACCTGCAAACTGTGTGCGTCACTCGTTAAACTGTTAAAGCAAAATAGGTAAAAGCTTAAACAGTGTATAAACCAGGTTTTTCGTTAAGAATCGGAAGTCCGAATACTCATACAAGCCTTCAAGCTAATTTCACTCCGCCCAAACCTGAAAGCCAGTGATCATCTCGCATGCAAGACTCTTCAATATCACTTTGATAATTGTGAATTAGTGTTTCTCGTATTAGATTCATTAAAAAAAAACTTTTGAAACAGCTACAGGAGAAAAGGCTGATTCATTGAATAATTTTCTCAAACACCTACAGGAAGAGGCTGAAACAAAAATGCAGAAGCTATGCAGGCAGATAGAGAGACAATGGAAATAATACAGTATAAACTGAACTCACCCGGAAGTGATCAAATGCAAATTGGCAACGACAAGAAACTTGAAGAGCAGACAAAAATTAACTAGAAAGATGGAAGAGAGTGTAGCAGAATGAAAATTGTATGCAAAAGAAAAGTAAAATCTTTTATTGCCCACCCTTTACCCCAAGGCGAAAACACCAGGTGGCCTACTCTCAGGCGTGTGAGCCAGCAGATCGAGCAAGAGCAGTTTGGTAAAGCTGATGTAATCTTTAAGAATGAACGGTAAAAACAAATTATACCCCTAGGCAAGCAGGCATGATCATGGGGTGCTGCCTGCTAACTCCCTATTATAGAATAAGAAAATGTTCAAATGTTAACTCATTTTGGACCTTTCCCTCGTGCAGAACAGTAAGAATCCAACTGGGCCTCATAATATTAGAAATATTACTTCCTCCACTTCAATTTAGATGATGTAGTTTGACTCGGTACAGAATTTAAGGGGAAGAAAAGACTTCTGAAACTATCTTAAAAGCATAAGGGTAAAAACTTTGTGGGCTTGTAATATTTGTGTGACTATAAAAACTTCTCTATAAGATTAAATGCGTAAAATAAAAAGTTTAAAGTTAAATTCTTTCCAAAAATAGAAATGTGTCATTCTTTTTTAAACGGACTACTAAGGAAAGTGTGTCGTATAAATTGAAACGGATGGAGTAATTGCTATGATAAACATTTGGACTCAAGTTGGGAAAATCTTGAATATCAATCTTATAACAACATTCCCACTTGGAGATAAATAGCTTGTGGGTAATCCTTCAGTAATTACCAGGGAAGAAGAAACTTGACTATAAAGGCCTTTTGAAGAAGATGAAGTTCTGGAGATCATCAAGCAACGGGAATAAAGCACAAGGTCCGGGGTGGGTTTTTCATTGGAGATAGAGTATTATCAAAGATGATATAATGAAGGCCCTGGATCACTTCCCCTTTAAGGAAATTTTGAAAAAAAGTTCAAATGCCACCTATATTTCTCTACTTCCATAAAAAATGCAGTTGTTGAATTGAGAGATTTTAAGCCTATAATTCTAATTAGAAGCTTCTACAAGATCATCTCAAAGCTATTAACAGAGAGACTCAAAAGAGTGAATTCACAAAATGGAGGATAAGTCGCAAATAACATTCATTAAAAGAAGACTATGGATGCATGCAAATGAATGTCTTGATTCCAGATTGAAAGATAACATTTCGAAAGTTGTCCAAATGGAAATATCTAACTTGCACAGAACTCCCGAAATATTTTTGTGCAGCTTAGATATAAAGAAGGCATATATGACCATGTTAACTGGAATGTCTAGTTAATATGCTCACAGATATGGGGTTTGGCAGAAAATGGATCAATCAGGTATCATTTTGTATAAGCACTATTAGGTATTCTATCTGGTAAGATGGAACACACCTGTTCTGACTAAGAAGGATCGTGGGTTGAGTATCAAGAATCTCAGGCAACAGAATGATGAAATGGCTATGGAGATTCAACAAAGAGGTAGACGCTCTATGGACGTAATGAAAAGCAAGTTTGACTTAAAGGTAATGGTGCACTAGAGCTGTCAAAACTCAAAACTAGCATGTAGTGTCTGTACAGAGGGGGGATCCCCGTGGCCTTTGTTTATGAACAGAACAAGGATGACAATTGGTAATGGCAGGAGACCTCTTTTTGGTAGGATAATTGGTCAGGTCATGGGCTCTTAAGGATGTATTCCCCGATTTTTTTACCTTAACCACTAATTCATCATTACTTTAGCAAATTGCAGAGACAATGCAAGCTGGAATATAAGCTTCAGGAGGCATTTAATGACTGGGAGTTACCTAGGACTACTGAAATTTTTGGTATCTCGATTCCTTTGGGGAACTTACTGATGTTTTGACCCCAAGCACGACAATAAAAGGTTTTCATCATGTTACAGAGCCCTTACAAGAGTGGGAAACCAGATTGAAGCTTGGACATGAAAGCAAATAATAGAAATCAAAAGCATTATACAAGATTGCTTGTTTCACATGGATAGTGAGTAAACAAGCATGTCTCACACGTGAAAACCTACAGAAAGAACATTTATTCGATGCAGCATGTGTTTTTTCATGTGAAAGCATGCTGAAACCGACAGTCACTTATTTTTGCACTGTCCCACTCAGTTGTGGAATTTTTCCTTCAATGCTACTGGAAGCAGTGTTATCAAAAGCAAAAAACGCAAAAAAGCTCTAAGGTCCGTTGGGGCTTTAAGCGCAAAGCACAAATAAAGCGTGGGCTTTAATGAAAAAAGGCGCAACGGGAGAAAAAGTAAAAATATGTATATGTAGTCAAAGACTAATAATTATAAGCATGAATAACAAATATATGGACAAAGAAATTGGAAAAAAATTACGATAAAGTGAAATATCAATTGTTTAATGTCACCATTTCATGATTACACTCATCGGAAAGGAATAGTATGCCTTAGAGCCTTGATGCGATACTAAAGCGCCCACAAAGCGAGGCAAAGCGCTCAACATGTTTCGAGTCTCGCTTCAGGGCTTAAGCGCGCTTTAAGCACGCCTTTGACAACACTGACTGGAAGACAACGGGTTTATGCCAAAGCAAACTGATGAGCTGTTCAAGTGTTGGAGCAGAAAAGAGCTGGCTAGGAGAAAGAAGAACCTATGGAACACTATACCAGCTGCTGTTTGGTGGACTGTTCGCAAAGTATTTATCATGATACGAATGGCATGCTACTGTTAAGGTTGTCAGTGCAACCTCTAGTAAGAGTGAAGGATACAAGCTAATACATCCAGTGTTTATCTTGTTTAGACCAAGCGAGCAGAAAAATAGTCTATCAGATAATTTTCTAGAATAACTGCGCTGTAATTTTCAATTTCTCTTTCTTTTTCTTTGAACAAATGAGTATACCTATTGTAATTCTTGATCTACAAAGATTTATAAAGGATGAAGATTACTCCTAATCTATTATCTTAAGATACTTTATCTGGAACTTTTGAATACATAATGACCAAAATGAGGTAAGGGTTACCCTAATCTTTTTCCAAGTGTAAACCATAGGGAAAATTATACAGATCTTCAATAGTTTCAAGATTGAATGAAATTCACACAAAACATTATTGATTTTGAACATTTTACTCAATAAGCAAATTAAATAAGGCATAGATAGTGCAAACTTCAAATCTAAAGACATCCAAGGAAAAATAGCTCAGAAAGAAAGTGCTCTCTCTGCTCAAATAGAATATTATTAGTGTAGGGTCTGAAAGAGTATCGCTAAATCGACAGACTACATTGATGAAATTAACAGTTAGACGCTGCCAATTAAGGAACGTGGAATAAGCCATAGAGACCTTTTCACTTTTGAAAAATAAGAGCTTTAACCGAACAGATATTCAAGTAATGTAAGTGGGTAATGAATAATAAATGTTTGAGGATTCTTGGTTAGAAGGAATTGATATCCAAATAGAAAACAACAACACTTATGCCTCAATCCCAAACTAGTCGAGATCACACATAATAAAGCTATGAGTCTCTGCGATACTGCGACCAGCAATGTGAGCTCAAATAGATGCTAGGTTCACACAGACAGAGTAGCTACCCAGATAGAACAGCAGAAAACATAGTATACATGCAAGTTCTGGAATACACCTGCAAGAGCTGAGGTCCTGGAGAAATCAGTTGATTGGCACAGCGACACAGGTTTGTTTGTTTCTTTTTTTTTCCCAGTTCAAGAATTTCAAAAAAAATTCTTTTTGTAGAAGAAAGGTAATTTGACAACAGCCTTAGTTTTGTGGCTCCCTTTGGTGTCTCCAACGTGTAATGCAGAATTTCATTCTTTTTTTTATAACCGCGGTGTCCGAGCCAGCTTGCGCACCGCCTCGACTAATTCCACGGGATACCTGCCACCTCCCACCAGTAACAGGTACCAGGTAACTTATCCACCAAAGCTTGGATAGATGGGAAGAAATCACCTAGGGTCCGTTGGGATTTGAACCTGAGACCTCATGGTTCTCACCCACTTTATTGACCACTAGGTCACACCCTTGGATGCTGAATTTCATTATCTTATAAACACTGGAAGTATATTTAACTTGCATTATGTTGCTTGCAAATTGCTTAACAAGGAAAAATACAGGAAATATGAGAAGAGGAAACTCTCGCTAAAGATGTCAAAAAGAGATCAAGTTAGCTTTGGTACTGTATAGAACAACTAAACATCTAAAATAATCTCCATGCGGTTTACATTTGGAAACCGCTAATTAATTTTCTCATTTGGTATAAAATACTTTTATTAGTTGAACTGAACAGCTAAAAATTTAACTCATCAAACAAAATACTTGTACATCTTCATGGCTACAACTTCAGACCCCTCAGTTAGTATCGAGATAATGTACTATAACTGCCAACACAGTTACAAAAGTACTTTCACATTTGGTTCAACCAGACCTAATGCCCATTTCGGATTAGGTCTTTCCCAACAAAAAAATTACCTATAAGGGAATTTGTCACTCCACACCAAAAGCACCTCATAATCAAACTCTATATATATCTCCTCAGCTCTTCATTAGTTTGTTCTCATCATCATCCTAGAATTCACAAAAGAAAAGATGGCTAAACTTTCCCAACTCACCTCTAAAACACTCCAAGCTATCTTCTGCATCTTGCTCCTAGCCCTCAGCTTTGGCTGTGGCAACTCAGCAAGAATCCTTGATGAAGTGGCCCCCGGTGTCGGATCCATCACAAATGGACGATCCTGTTGTAGCTACTTTGGTAGTACCAATTGCCAAGTAACCAGTTACCAGCTACTCTCACTGCTTCTGATTCCAACGTGGTGCCTGTGTTGCTGATCATTCCGTCCCTGCTGCCACAGTGGCTCCTTTGACAGATATACCAGCTGAACCTGAACCAGATTTTGGTGTATCCAATTTGGAGTTACATTTTCTACTGTAGATGGTTATGAAACACAGATAAATAGCAAATGAAAAAGACCTTCCATTAAAATCAATGCATGGAAACCATTTTACACCAGTTATACTGCAGCAGAAGGAAAAGCAGTCACAAGGTAAAGTAGTTTGTAGCATTCCTCTGGATGCTACATATAGAAGAAAAAAAGTCACTATAATAATTAATAAAAAGCAGAAATAAAAGCATAAAATCCTGAATTTTAATCATAAATTTTTTATACCTGGCCTTCTGCCGTCAAAAGTTACAATACTAGTGTAAATATTTAGTTACTTACAAGTTTCACCAGTCTTGAGATATTGTACACGAAAATATAGCCCTTCAACATTTGCATTGAGTGCTTCAACCACAATATAAGGAATGGAAATCCCTCAAATTCTCTTTGTTTTGTCAAAACTGAAGGAATACATAACAAGATCCCATACTTCCACAAAAAAAAAGGCTATAGAAAACACTACATGTATCTGCTCCATTACTGTGATAAAGGATTGGAAGAGGTTCAAGGAGAAAGCTGTAGCGGCTAGTGAGGAGAAAGGAACGATAATACAGGTAAAAACAGCTTCAAATGGTCTAGGCACTTTCTTGTGCCAATTCATGGATGCCTCCACTTTCCCCTACGCTTCTGCAGCTTATCTATAAAGGCAATGGTTACCACAAAATTTAAATTAGACAACCCATTTAATTGTTGTTAAAGCAATTGTCAAACATTGATTAATGAGAAAATTACAGTTACTTGCCAATTTTTAACCTTTATTTACTGCGATTTTAGAAAAAATATTAAGATTCTGTGCTTCATTGAATCAGTCACCATATGAAATTAATCAAGCGATTATCTTGCTCAAGTTAAATGCAAATCAACCAATTCTTAAGTAAAAATAGAGAGTAAAAAAATACATGAACTATCTCTCTTAGCAAAGAAAAGATGAGCAAAGGAGCATATTCAATTAATTGATGATCAAATGATGTTAGCCAAATACCAAGAATCAAAACTAAAATTTCTGGATGAGGGACCAAAAGTATAAATATCCAAGGTAACATGCCACTCAAGATAAATAATATAGGACCCCCTGAATTAGTCACTATTACAGAGAACAAACGGTGAGATAGCGGGTACATCCATCTCAATGAAGCACTCGCTTGGTTTGTTTTAGCGGTTCGCATATTATTTTCAATTTGGGAGATGCCTGAGGGAACCCCTTCAATTCCTTTGAGATCTTCAAGTGCTGGCCTTCATGAACACTTTCATCTAACAAAAGGGTGGCCTTCAGGAGTAAAGGTGCAGAAGCAAGTATAGACCTTACAAAGAGCAATTCAGTTCTTGAACCATGGAAGTGATCTATTTTGAGTTCTTTAAGCTTGTTGAGTCCTTGTCTCCTGTAGGTTGGTCCTTCAAAATGATTTACATTGACTTCAATGTCACCTTTGTTCTTCGAGCCCAACTAAAAGTAGCATAGAAGTAAAATCAGTAACATTTACAGCTCTTTACTCAGAAAAGGAGAAACAACTCATGAACTCATTGACTTACCGAAAATAGAAGGGCATTCAAATTGGGAGAAGCGCTAAGCATTCTTATAAGGGAAGATATTTGATCTTCATCATCAAAGTTGAATTGATGAAAACTGAGAACCCTCAAGTTGTCGAGACGTGTAGCAAACCTCTCTACTTCAGTACCAGAAGCAAAAGACTGGACAACAGACAACCACAAAAGAGTAACATTAGATATTACAAATATATGCATCATTCTTGCTATGCAAAGATATCAAAATTTTGCACCTTACCTTGAGGTAGTAACTGTCCAAAAGAAGACGACAAACTTTAGTCCAGCCACTGAGAAGATTGGTCAAGTTCATCACTTTATGTTGATTGTTTTGTGATGCAAGTGCAACTGCTTTCAGCTTCCGACAGTCAATGAAATGACCCAGCTGAAGGTTGTCAATGCCACTGGTAAAGAAACTTAATAGCAAAAGTTCTGGAGCACATATTTTCAAGTGATGAAGACCAGAGCATGACATAAAACGGAGGTTCTCAAGGTTTGGCATCCACAAGAAAGAAGTCGCAACATAGTGAAAGACTTTTGAGCTTGTGGAAACCCCTAAAGCTGGATGGCGGCCTGAAAATGCAATTGGACAGGTCCAAACTTTCTAGTTCTACACCGTATATGTAGGAAGGCAAAGTATAAGGAGCTTTGTTCATATTCTGAAGGGTGAGATCCATGAGACCATTTCTTGACAACAAAAGCATCCATTGATCGATAATTGAGTGCTGAGAAGAAGGTATTGTTGAAATATTTAGGAGGATTGCCTTAATGGCTCCATCGTGCTGCGACAGAATAGTATTAATGATGTCTATTAATTTTTCTGATGGCTTGTTCTTGCAAAACTGAGCAGAAAATACGAGCTTGGGGATTGAGGACCAAACATGTCTCCATGCTCTAGACAAAACACTCCTTTTTGCGGCTTCCTCAATAGACAAGTGCTCCTCAATCTGGTGTTTGACATAAATGGGAAGATCGGTAAGTCTATCAAGTGTGTCCCCTTCGACTTTAAGTCTCTTACAGCGACCTATCATTGCGATTCTGAGTTCTGGAGGAGAAAAAAAGGGAGTCAGAATATAAGTTTCAACATGCTGCATATGACTCATGTATACCACAATAATCCCATGTGGAATGAATCTATCTATGCCAGAGCAACGTTAGCTAGATCAATAACTGTTAAACAGAGGCGGACTTCAGATTTAACTCTGTGTCAAATAAAGTGCTAAGGCAATTCTTAAGTTATCAAAACACACATCCAGTTATAAAATCTATTCTAGCAAGTATCTATAGAGTATGCCATGGACACGTATTAAGCACCCAAAAGCTGAATCAACAACTTTGAGCTACGCCTACACAAAATGGCAAGAACCTTGAGCAATTTTAAAAATTTGATAGATAAAAAAACAAAAAATTTAGCTTTTTGGTCAGTGTTTCCATCCAATATCACAAGAAATCAATTGCAAAAATTAAGAATAGAAAAGAAAAACGTACGATTTGGTGAATGCTCGAGGAGTTGGATGCAGAAGGAATCTGAGAGTTGGTTGATGTTTGGGTTTGGACAGTGAATAAACCGCGGAAGTAGATGTATATATTTTATTTATAGATACATGAGAAGGACGTTCCTCCTGTTTCCGGTTTTGATTGGGAATTGGTATTGGTATAGATACATGAGAAGGACGTTCCTGTTTCCGGCTTTGATTGGGAATTGAGGGCGGCTCCAGGTAAGGCAAGGGCTTAGGCCCCCAAATATTTAAGGGAGTTTTAGAGTTTTACCCGTAAAAATCAAACTAAAAATCAAACTAATTAGTCTTGACTATCCATTTATTTTTGTACTCATCAAACTAATTACCATTCGTACCCATTCTAGCTTTTATGCGTAATTGGCTCCTCCTTCTATTTTTTCTTCTTTTTCGTTGTTTTTGCTCTTTCTCCCTTCTGTTATGTTTTTTTAATCATATTGTTTTTTATTTTCTTTTTTTACTATTATTTAATTCCATACTCAATTCTGGCTCCTTTTTTTTATTCTATTTCTTTCCTTTTGTTCATTTTTCTTTATTTCTTTATTTCTTTTCTAGTTTCATTTAACTCTTCTTCTTTTTTTTCTACATTATCTAACCACATTCACTTTTTTTTGCATCCTTTCTTTATTTTTCTTTATTTTGTATAGCAATAAAATATAACTAATATAGTAAATATTTATTTACTGTTCTTTTCATATAACTGGTATAATATATCTTATGTCTTTTATCTCATTTTTTTCTCTAAATCAGTGATTAAAACTACTTACACATGATACATGTTTTCTCTTCTATTTTTTCATTGATTTTTTTCCTTTTTCTCCTTTTCTAATTTTATTTTTATTATTTTTAAATTATTTTTTCTGTGTTTTATTTTTCCTCGTAATCTAATTTTACACATCTTTTTGGCTCCTTTATTTTTATTCTTTTTTCTCTCCTTTTTTACTATACCAAATAAAAAATAGTGACCAATATAGTACATCTTTTTATTTAATTTAATTTTTCTTATACTAATTATCATAAAATAACATACTCTATCATATAAAAAGGGCAGCACGCTGCACTAAGCTCCCGCCATGCACGGGTTCCGGGGAAGGGCATGACCATAAGAGTCTATTGTACGCAGTCTTACCCTGCATTTCTGCAGGGTAAGATAGTTCTAAGCATCTATTTACTCTATCATATAGTATACGAAAAATAGTATATTAGTAGTAGTTAATGTATATTGTTGCAACATACTATGATACTCACATGGTATATTATCATATACTGGCATGGTCATAGAGGTCTGGTTCATTCCTTCCAGAAATACACTCAGTTCTCTATGATACCTATATTTTATATACTATATATTGATATGATATAATGTGGCATTCCTTCCAAAATAACACTCAGTCTCGATGATGCCAACCTGGTATATAGCATATGCTAATAGGGGCTCATAGAGGGCTGGTTCATTCCTTCAATAAAAACAACACTCGTCAGTACCACAAGGGTCTATTGTACGCAGCCTTACCCTGCATTTCTGCAGGGTAAGATAGTTCTAAGCATCTATTTACTCTATTATATAGTATACGAAAAATAGTATATTAGTAGCAGTTAAAGTATATTGTTGCAACATACTATGATACTCACATGGTATATTATCATATACTGACATGGTCATAGAGGTCTGGTTCATTCCTTCTAGAAATACACTCAGTTCTCTATGATACCTATATTTTATATACCATATATTGACATGATATAATGTGGAAGACCTTTCAAAATAACACTCAGTCTCGATGATACCAACCTGGTATATAGCATATGCTAATAGGGGCTCATAGAGGGCTGGTTCATTCCTTCAATAAAAAAATACTCGTCAGTACTCTATGATGCCCTCATGGTATATTATATACTCACAAGATAGAGGTCTGGTTAATTCCTTCAAAAAAGAGCCTAGTCCTCTACGATACCAAACTGATATACAAGTATACTTTCACGACCCAATTTCCCCTGTAGGCCGTGATGGCGCCCAACGTCGCTGCTAGGCAAGCCAACGATGAAATAGCCATGTATTTATTCTTTTTAACAATTTCGAAATAGTTGATTTTTATTTATTAAGTAAGTAAGAGATGAAAAATCAAATAAAATAAAGTGTAAATAAATATAAGAACAGGTGTGGTGAAATAAACTCTCAAAACTCCGTCAAATATCTACTAGCATAAATTTCAAGACCCGGTGTCATAAGTGTATGAGCTTCTAGTAGAATATACAAGAAAATACTGAACTATTGTCTGAAATAGAGTAGACAGAAAGTAAATACAAAAGAGAGGCTTCGGGTGCTGCAGAATGGACTCGAAAAAAGCAGCTCACCACCAAGTCTCGGAGTATCAAGGGAGCGCGCCAGGATGACTGCCAGATGCACCTGCCTCAGATCATGCATGATCAGTGCAGAAGTGTAGCGTGAGTACATAAATAACATGTACCCAGTAAGTATCCAGTCTAACGCCGAAGAAGTAATAACGAAGGGTCGATATTGGCACTTACTATGGGCTAACAAATAAAATACAAACTTTTTAAATAAGCATGAGTTATGTAAATAATAATAATAATAATAATAATAATAATAATAATAATAATAATAATAATAATAATAACACAATAACAAGCAGCGAATAAATAATTCTTTAATTGATCGTAAATGCCAACATCTCTAATCAACACCTACTAACTCCAAATCAATTTCTGTCATTAAATAAATTGTAACCTCTCAAGCCATAAAATAATATCAAGGGTAATTAGGCTCCGAGTATTATCACGCACGATTTATGCCGAGGTCGTACGACCCGATTTAAAAATATACTGTGTGCACTACCAAGGGTAGAACGGCACGAACCATAAATGTATCTAATAAACTGCCGAGGTGAATGGGCCGCTCCCATGAGAATAGAGAAGTTTACCTCGCTCGTGGAAGTACTTGCGACGAGAGAGGACATAGATTTCTCAGAGTTATTAAATATTTTTCAATTCTTTCTCCAAAATAAGAAATCTATCTTGGAAATTTTCAACTTTAGAATCTATAGTCTCAACTCTATTCAAGATAATTAATATGCATAACAAACACGATAATACAAGTAAAGCATGGAGTAAACCTAAGACTACATAGCTCCCCACACAAGTAATTCACAACAAAAATACAGCTAAGGGGATGAGTTTCCCTCTTACAAGGTTAGGCAGGAGACTTACCTCGTTCTCAAGCTCACTTTCGGTCCACAAATACGCTATAAATCCTCAACTCGGTGCCAAACAACACGAAACTAGCCAAATATTATACAAATAAATCAATATATACTCAAAAGTTCATAATTTAACTATTGAAGTAATTACCCAACCCAAATTGGAAGATTATTAAAATTCTTCCCCAGGACCACGTGGTCAAATTTCGGAAATTTTTGAAGATAAATATTATCTATAACCTCACGATTTCAAATATATAATTTTCACCCAATTCCGTAATCATTTTCGTGGTTAAATCTCTTTTTTATCAAAATCTAGGTTTTTCAACTAAACCCATAACTTTTACAATTTTATATGTTAAAATCTACTCATAATCTATGTATTAAACTTACATTGGGTAGGAATTACTTACCTCCAATAGTTAGGTAAACACCTCTCTAAAAAGCTCCAAAAATTGCCCAAAAAGTGAAATATATGAACAAAAATGGCCTAAGTCCCGTCTTAAATGAACCATTCTGCCTCCAGCGATTTTCGCTTCTCAGGAGAATTGGCCGCTTCTGCGAAAAATGCATCGCAGATACGGCCCTCCCCCAGTCGGCCTACTTCCGCTGCTGCGGACAACGGCTCACTTCTGCAAACCTGCTTCTGCGGCGCCTGCCTCGCACCTACGCTTTCGCAGGTGCGGTCCATGCCTCGCTTCTACGATCATTGGGAAGTCTACACCAGGTCGCTTCTGCGGTCAAATTCTCACACCTGCGGCCAAAATATCGCAAGTGCAGACGATTTGGTGCACTAGCAGTTCTACCATGCAAAATCCGAGCCCGATTCCAATCCGTTTCACACCCGGGCCCCCCGGGACCCCATCCAATCACACTCACATATCAAACAATATAATACGGACCCGCTCGCACGATCAAAATACCAAAATAACATCTAGAATTACGAATTGAACACCGAAACGCATGAATTCGACATGAAACTCAAAAATATCTAAAAACACTTATGTGCGTCCGATGCCTATCAAATCAACTCGGAATGATGCCAAATTTTGCGTGCAAGTCTTAAATCACCATACGAAGCTATTACCAGGGTCAGAATCCCAAAAGGACCTCGATAACACCATAACCTACTTCAAACCAAATTTAAAGAACTTTAAAACCTTCAATGTGCCAACTTTCAACTTTATGCATCGAAATGCTCCATGGTCATCCAAAACCCGATCCGAATATACGCCTAAGTCCAAAATCATGATACGAACTTATTGGGACCATCAAATCCCGGTTCCGAGGTCGTTTTACTAAATATGTTGACCCAAGTCAAACTTAACCCTTTTAAGCTAATAATAAGGAACTAAGTGTTCCGATTTTAACTCGAACCCTTCCAAATCCCGAACTAACCATTCCCGCAAGTCATAAAACAGTAAAAGCACATACATGGAGTCTTATTTGGGGGAACGAGGTTCTAGAAAGAAAAACGGCAGATCGGTTCGTTACATTCTCCACTTCTTAAACAAACGTTCGTCCTCAAATGGGTCTAGAATCATACTTGGAGTGTCGAATAATTGTGGATATCTGTTCCGCATGTCCTCTTTGGTCTCCCAAGTCACCTCCTCAACTGGCTGACCCCTCCACTAAAATTTTACTGCAAAAATCTTCGTGGACCTCAACTGGCAAACCTGCATGTCAACAATGGCAACTGGCTACTCCTCATAACCCAGACTCTCATCTAGTTGAACCGTGCTGAAGTCTAGCACATGCGATCTGTCGACGTGATACCTCCGGAGCATAGATACGTGGAAAAATGAATGAACTCTTGATAGACTGGGAGGAAAATCAAGCTCATAAGCAACCTCCCCAACTCGTCTTAACACCTCAAATAGAACTATAAACCTTGGGCTCAACTTGCCCTTCTTCCCAAACCTCATGATTTCCTTCATCGAGACTTTCAAGAGAACCTTCTCGCCCATCATAAATGATAAATCACGCACCTTCCAATCCGCGTAA